GCCTGGATTATGCAGGACCCCTGCACAGGGCTGGCAGGGATAGCAAAGGATCTATGGAGGTTCACTCAGCCCTAGAGAGGCAGCTGGAGTCCAAACAAAATACCTTGAGGCACCTAAAATATCTAAGAAGCACTATTACATTGCCTTTTCTTATTTTAAGTTCTTTTGATTGCATCACCTGTATTGACAAGAACAAGACTCAGTTGTTTAAATTTCAGGAGCTGGTTCTGTGTCTAAAACCTGTGCACAGTGACACAGCAGAGGACTTGTAGGAGATCTGCACGAACCTGGACTGGAAATGGGAGGGCAAGTATGATACTTCGAAACCAAAATGATAGTAGACACCTTTGCCCAAGCATCCACATTCTGTTCTAGATCTTCATGAACTGCACTTGTAGAGTTTAGCAATCCAGCTCTCACTTAGACATCTAATTCTATAAATCTTAATTTACATAAACGGAATCCACCAGAATTTTTTATCATCTAAAGATGTGACAGATTTCAATAACAGAAGCATGACTCTCAGTACTTCAGGTGAAGTTTGAATTAACCTAAAAATAATTATTTGTGTGTCCCTATCATGGAAAATAGACACTATTCAGTCTCAATAAATAGTAACTTCAGTTGACCTTAGGGCAGCAACTAAAACAGTTTGTCAGAAAGATGTCAAAATTGCTTTGAAAATCAGCAGGCACTCAATGAAGTCCATATGCATACTTGCAGTTTTATAAAGGCACATGAATAAAAATAAAAATTACAGTGTTAGCATAGAAGAGATTACATCCTTTTTTAGAGTGACAGCATAGAATAGATGACATCTTTTTCAGAAACAACAACTCATCTGTTTTAAGGTCTGACTTTATGTCAAACTAATTTTCTGACTACAGTATTCTCAAAACAGCAGGACGACTATATAGCAAATGATGCCTCCTGGGTTTTGCTGGTTTAATTTTATCAAAATTAGAGCCTTTGAGAAACCCTAGATGGACAACTCTGAAGTCCTCTCTATAGACAAAGACAATGTAGACAGTACTTCTGAGAGCAGTAGCACATTGCTTATTCTCTGCAAAACATTATCTCTAAGAAGAAAGGTTCATTTTTGCTCTAATCCCCTTGTTTTCTCCATCCACTTTATAGCATTACTTCCCATAAACTATGAAACACATTCTAAAATTATAGTAAAATGAAAGCATAGTACTTTAGTCTTCCAGATATAATAATGAGTTTAAAGAGGGGGTTATTTGGAGATTCAACACATTGATTATTAACTTCCTAAGATACAGAAGTATTTGGATGGTGGAAAATTGAATGCCTGGAACTAATGTATTTGATTCACAGACCAAACACTGAAGAAAAATCAGACTGTTAAAAAAAATGCAAATTGTGGACACTGAGTGGAAATACGCTGACAGACTAGTAAAAGCACAAGAACTATTTCTTTTTCAATTCATGTAATGTAAACAAAACACCTAAAAAACACGGCAAGAACAAAATATAATCAACCTGAATCATGAAAAATGATAAAATTTACAGATAAAAAATTGAAATCTGAAAACGGTAATCTTCCATAATCTTCATTTGCAAGATGACTTGGAGTATATTCTCAGAATTACATCTGTTGTTATTATTGATCAGTATTTTGTTTGGAGATTTATATTTCTGTACAATTTATAGTGGTTTTAAAAGCAATTGTTGACAGTCAGCACAAAAATACGTAGGTGTTTAAGTATCCAGTTACACATCATTTGTGAAATAGACAAGTAACTATGGGAATGAATGTGCAGGTTAAGCAAGGGAGTAAAGCACACTGACATATAGATACAGACATATGTGTAGGTAATTAACAGACTGCAGCCCTTCCCTGAACAATGCACTTCTTATATGCAACTTCATTAATTCCCCCTTGCTCCCACGTATATGTAACTTGAAGTATAAATAACAAATCATGTGATTTTTATAACATACATGTTTACAATTTTAATAATGCTACTCAAAACTTTCAAGATGTTGTGAAATCAAAGAGAAACTGCTTATTTACAACTTTTCAGTAAAACAAGTTGATGGTTTGCAATCCTGATACTTGCATCTGTCCTCCTGATCCAGCTTAGCGTTTCAGCATCAAAAATAAAGAAAAATGTTAATCATTCCATGTAATCCAAGGAAGATGTACATGGTTATCAGTAAGTCTATTCTAAAAAATATCTACAGGAGCCTGGATGTATAGGGCAAAGGATTTAGTGATTTTCAACAGAAAGACTAAAACCACACAAATAATTTTTTTAAATGCAGGAAAGCTTAATAAATAGCTAGTAAATAAAGATTCATAGAGGAATATATTATATATAAACCTACAGTTTGATTATGAATAGAAAAGTGCATGATACAAGCTGTAATTCCTGTTACAAAGAACTGTCATCATGTCACTGAAAGTTACATTACAGGCTGCCTAGAAAGCAGCGTAATAAAACTTGCTGTAATAACATTTTATTTATGTCCATAAAACAGAAGAATGGTAAATCTCTGGTTATTTTCTTTTTAATACAGATATGAATTTTAACAAGCTAATTTATAAAAGGTTACACCAATGTCTAGATTTAAATCAAAGGAATTAATGTCCATACTACCACAGCTCACACACAGAAATTCTTGTAACAGATTTCAATAGCTGATGAGGCTAAAGGTCAACACTCACAGTATCTGTTTGGAATTAAATGAAAGAATATGTCAAAGTTTAAAAGTTTAGTTTGCAATCAGCATGAAGTTCATAAGCTGTGCCTCAGGTCTTCAAACTAACTGGGCCTTTTTTTTCCCGTCCAAATTACTACTTCGAATAAATACTTGAGTAATCTTGAAAAGCTCCTTCTCTTCATCCTTATTCACTGTTCATTGATATGTACTCAAGAATCCTTGCAGGCCAGTAAAAATTACTTAAAAGAAGCAGAAGTAACCAACTCAGGTAGTACGTGAATATAGCTGTGCTTAGTCAAAGATGACTTCTTTTCCAGGCAGGTGAGACAACCTCAGCTGAAATTCTGGTTGTAGTAAGGTGTTCACCAATCAGAAGCCCTTCCTGCTCATTTTTCCTGAAATAAACTAGTACAGTTTTTATAATAAAAGTACTTTAGCAACTTTCTTCAGAAACACATCATTTGTTTCTTTTGCAAGATCTGTATTGACGCTTTTCAGATTTTGCATTGCTCCATGAGAGGGCACAGAAAAAAACACTTCTCTGCAGCTGTTCTGGCAACTAATGGGAAAGAATGGGCACTGACTCCCGGGGCAGCTGGAAACTTAGGCACTTGGTACAATGATACACTGTCTGAGGACACACTGAGCATCTTCTTGAGGAGCTCCCATATCACTGAGGATCTGATTACCCAGCCCAGCATAAAAAGCGGTGTAATTACTTATACTTTCCCTTATACCCCTGCTACAGTGGGTTGGACAAGTTATTTAAACCTAACAGGCTTTCCTGCAGCTGGGAAAAAAAAAAAACAAACGAAAGAAAAAGCACAAAAAGCAGCATACATCCCCTCATTTTCTTTCCAATCTCAATATGCCTTTCTCTGATATTTATTGCCTCTCTGGCACTTCACATACACAGTGTTATATATTAATTTAATGAGTCATGTAATGCTTCCCTAAGACTGGAACATATCCAGAGGTGGGGAAGGTGGCAGTGGGGATAGTGAAGTCAGACTTTTCAATTACTCTTCAGAGAGTAGCTTTCATTCAGCTCCTTTTTTTTTTTTACTTGAGAAGCAATCCTACCAGTACAGAAAAGCCTGTCAAATATATGAAGTGTCTCTGCAGTTGCCTGAATCTGCATGAAGCCTAAGTCAAACTCTTGTAAGAACCATCTCATTTTTTTCCCTCCTGAATGAGTACAAAGGCTGGCATTGGTGACACTTTTAACTGCAAACAGGTATCTCTGTCAAAAACATTTTTTAGAAGATGAGAAGTAGATCAGAAGTTTCTCTCTCAGAATTTCAAGTAGAGAGGGTAAAAGTAGTGGCATGATTAATGAAAATACAGGGATCATGTATCAAGCCAAGATACACCAGCTTGTAACACTGCAACAGTGCATTGAAGGAGAGGTAGTGCAGTGTTAGTGTCACACATACTATAAGAGAGCTCAGCTTCCAAACGTGTACACATTATTTTTAATGTCATAAATGTAACTACAGCATTGCAGAGTGACTGGTCTTTCTACATGAGGTTTGCAAAAGACAAGGAAAAAAACTGAGACACAGAGAGAAGTAACTTGCTCAGGAACATGAAAAACCCACCTCAGATTTAGGATTAGGGCAAGAAACAGAAATTGTACCTTCTAACCTCGAGTCATCAAGGTATACAGACGAGAGGACCAAAACGCAGAAAAGCACTAAACACCTCCCTGTCCATCGGCGAACACGACAGCCCCGCACAGCATCACTTTCCCAGACAGGACTATACTACTATTCCTCCCAAGTCCACTCACAACCGCGCCGGCTCTGGGTGCTCAACAAGCCTTAAAGCACTCGCACGTGTCAGAGTTTACCCACAGACAAGCTGGGCTGTTCGGATTTTTTTGCCCTGAACCGCGCAAGAAGCAGGGAGATGCCGTCAGCCGCATCTCTCCTTCACCGGCCCCGGCGAGCCCGGCGGCCGCCGCCAGCCCGCCCCGCATCCCGCGGGCTGCGAGGCCACGGCAGGTGCCGGCAGAGCCCCGGAGAGCTCCGGCCGCCCGGGGTACCGGGGCAGGAGGAGATGATGGGAGGCTGCAAACCGCCGGCCCGGGAAACGGCCGCTGGCAGTGACAAGGAAAAAGGGGGGAAGGAGGAAAGCGAGTCTCCAGGGAAATAAAGTTTTCAAGCGAAGAGGGCAGAGCTCGGAGCGCCGCGCAGCCCCGCCGCCACTCGCCGAGACAGCAGCGACTTCGTGAGAAACGAGGGACGGGGAACGGGCGGCCGTGACCCGGGCTACAGCCCCGGCACCGGCCGGGTCCGCCCGCTACTCACCATGTTGACTTCGGAAACCATGTCGATGCTGGCGATGTCGATGTTCATCCCCACGCAGACGGGCGGACCTGCGGGCAGAGCAGACCTTTACTCGGCGGCAGCGCGGGAGCGGCGGCCGGACCCGCCGAGCGGGAGCGGCGGCAGCACCGGGGACAGCTGCGGAGGAGGGGGGGATCGCCGGGCGGCAAGCCGGGCAGGGCGACTCACCTCCGAAATCCGGCCGGAGGCGGATGTCGTAGCCCTTCAACAATTTATCCACAGTTTCTTTCACGAAGGACATGTTGCCGGGATCGTTCACACTGTGGAGAGAAAGAGACGGGGGTGTCGGGCGGGAGAGGCAGAAGCCGGGGTGCCGGGGGCCAGGGGCGACGGCGGGAGCGGGGCGGGAGGGGGAGGGCGGGGGAGCGCATCAGCTTGTTCCCCTGGAGAAACGCATCCCGCTCCGCCGCCGGGGCACGCTGGCTCCTACCTCTGGGCGCAGCAGACCACGGCCACCAGGACGGGAGCAGAGAAGATCCCGAAGATCCTGCCTCCCCCAAAGCCCCACATCCCTCCGCTCCACGCTCCCTTCGCGCAGCAGCAGCAGCCGCCGCCGCGATCCTGCTGCCCCGGCTGCCGCTGAGGAGGAGGCGGAGGCGACAGTCCCCGTTCTCCCCCCACCTCGCCCTCCCCCCCCAAAAAATATCCCCCACCCCCTGCCCCAGCACCACCACCCGGCCCGCGGGAGCCGCCCGCGCACCCGGCTGCGCTCGCCCCGCGGCCGGACGCCGCCGAGCCCCGGAGGAAGCTGCCCTCCGCCGGAGCCCGGCCAGCCGCCTCCCCTCCGCCCGCCGCCGCCCGCCCTGCCGCCTTCCCGCCAGCCGGGAGGGGAGGGGAGGGGATGGAGGGAGGCAGGGCACCGCCGTCCCTGCGGGCGGAGAGCCCGAGCTGGGGCGCCGGGGGAGCGGGGCTGGCGGGGCCGGGGCAGGCAGCGAGGGGCGGTGGCTCCGCGGGCACCGCCTCGGGGCACGCCCGGCCTCTGCACGGCCCCGGCCTCGCCGCACCCGCCCGGGCGCGGCGATGGTCACCGGCAGCTCCCGCGGGGTGTCCCCGCAGCAGGCTCCATCTCCCCGGGGTAGGAGCGGCACTGCGGGGCTGGGGCAGCCCGCAGGGTCCCCCCTGGAGCCGGTGAGAGGGTCTGCCCGACGCCGTCCCTCTGTCCGCCTCTGTTTTGGGGACTGTGCCCACCTGCCATGTGGCGCATCCTGGGAGCGATGCCCGGGGTGAGCCGCTGGGGCGGGAGAAGGAGCTGAGCTGGGACCCCTGCCATGACCTGCAAGGGCCTGAAGCTGTCTGTGCCATGGCCAGGGATGTGGTGTGCATGTACAGGTGCCGGGCCTGAGGCTCCTCCAGCCGTGCCTGCGACAGTGCCCGCTGCACTGACCGAGATGGACATGCCCTGCCAGGCAGAAACTGCTGGGTTCAAACCGTGTGTACCCAGGCTTGTCATATGGGACCGGAATGAACGGAAATGACACTGCCACCACACATGTAGGGTGAGAGCTGTCACCTGTGAGCTTCTGGATGCTCTCAACTTTGTATAAAACATTGGTTAGGTGAAGATAGCACAGTTGTTATTATTTTAATCTTCTTCCATGTTAATTAGTCCTTTCAGCAGGACTTATTGGTGTGGAAACAGAAGAATGTTGACTTAGGTATATTGGTTTTGGTTGCAGAGGCAGCTCCTCACCACTGGAGCTGTTCACCGTGCCCTATGAACGTACAAACATGCCCTTGGCCAGCTTCTGATTCTGGTCACATTGCAATCAGTGGCCATTGGTCCATGACAAAGCACAACATTTCAGTAGCCAAGGGAGAAAAGCTTTGTCTTTCTTTTTCACTTTTAACATCTGTTTTTCCTTCCACACATTCTCTTCCCTTACAAAAACTGCTATGAAAAGAATGGCCATTGAGTAATGCCATGATATTATGTACAGGTGAGAAAACATGGATGGCTTTTACTCTCTCCTCAACAAATTATTGAAAAGAAAGGCAAGTGCAATCCATTGTCCTGACCTTTTTGCTGTTGCAGCTAATTATAACGATCCGAATAAAAGAAGGAGCAGGCTCAGTTTTAAAAACGATTTTAAGCTCTATAGGCAATGCAGAAAAATGTAAGAGTAGGAGCAATTAAGTGCTTCCAAATCTTGTGATTTCATGCTAATATTTGGATTTTTAATAGTGCTATAATTACTGTGATTATAAAGTAAGTGAAAATCTTAGCTTTTATTTAAAAATCCTATTAAGCTTATGATGAAAGTTTGAGAATTGTGGCATGAAGCTACATGACTCAAGGGCTCATAAGTGAAAAGTCAAATAATAAGTAACTATAGAAGTAATTTTAAAGTCCTGGGTCCTGATTTTTTTTAATGCTGTAGATGGGCAGTACTGAAGACCAGTTTTTTGAAGACTATTTTGAAGACTATTGAAGACTATTTTTTCAAAGACTTCAGAAGGAGTAAATTTAGGGAAGGGTACTAATTCAATTCTGTCCCCCTAAATTCTGAAAGAAACTATTAACACCAAAGAAAATATTTCTTATGAAGAGTTTAACGTGATTTAAAAGCACATTAAAATACTAATAACTTTTCTTAAATAGATTGCCAGTTTTATAACAGAAATAAAAAAAGTTAGCACTATTTCTGATTAATGTGTTATCCTGGTACTTTGGAAACACATCTGAGGTAAGAATGAATCAACAGTGCTGTAGAGTCTGTCATATTTTATCACACTTCATTTAAGTATTTGTCTTCTTGATCTCACAGAGCAACAATTTACTTGGGAACAACATAAAGATAATCTAGGCTGGAGTTGATGAACAAGGAAGTATTTAGTGGGTTATGGAACATTTGTTCCTTGGGTTTTTGGATTCTATTAGGCTTAGCAGTAACCAAAAGATGTTAAAAACTATAAACAATCAATGAATTTCATGAAAGCTAAAAATCGTCTCGACTGCTCTGTGACATGGCATTTGCAGTGAAAGTAGCACTGTGGGTTTTGTCTGCAGGAAAGGCTCATAACTAAGCTTCTGTGGCAATGGAATGAAGGTGAGACACAGCAAAGACCTGCACAGGATTCAAGGAAATAGTGGAAGCCCAGACTTTCGGGGAGCTATTTAATGCGGAAAATATGGAGATAAAGAAATAAGGATAAAACAGGGCATAGAAATCGACTCCTTGTCCTGCCCCAGAATTCAACATCCTGACTTTGCTTCTGGAATGAGACTCCCAAACGTCTCCTTTCAAAAGGCAAGCAGGTTATTTCAAGATATGGCTGGAAGGAGTCTGGGAACTTTTATTCTCCAAAGCAAAACAAAGTATCCAGTCACAACCTGTAAATTGTCCATCCAAGAAATTCCCAAGGACGTATCTCCTGAGATAAGCCCAGACTCCAGGATCACAAGGTAAACTTTTGTTTTTTGAAAAGTTCCATTTTTCAGCAAATAATTAAGTAGCCTAGAGGGAAGGAGCTAACATAACTCTGTGGCCTACTGGTTTGGCTGTTGCCTGGGAATTACTGTTATTTCATAAATAATCCAGTGATTCATGAATTAATTACTGGATAAAAGAAATAAATGTTCAGTGGTATAAAGAACGGAACCCAATTCTCTCATTCTTTTGGGTGCCTTCATCATTGTTCATTTTCACTCCTTGCTCTTTTTTTAATATGCAGTCTTTTTGTCCCAGTAAAACTATCCCTGTAAGATATGAGACTTTGAACACTGCAGTTCAGGGACTAAAATTAATCACATTTTCTACAACTTCGGTGAATGTTCCAGCCTCTGGGCCACTGGACAGTTAAGATCTATGCTCCTGATCAGACTTTGTTCAATGAGAAAAGCACAGCATGTGTTCTTGACTTCCTCAGCATTGCCAATATTGTAAAGGCCACTTCAACAAGAGATAAGTCTAAACTGCAAAGGTGAGCATTGTGTATGAAGGAGCAAAAGGACTGTCCTTGCTCCAATGCAAATAAGTGTGGATCAATACAACTGCCAAGCCTGCACATGAAAGAAATCTTTGAGGGAAGTTGGATTATAATGGATTCATCAGCTAAGTCTGGGTTAGCAGGTACAGGGGCTGGTCTCTAGAGCAAAAACTCTTGTTGCTGAGGATCTGATATCCATGCCATACACACCTGTTGTTTTGGGTTTGATTTTTTTTTCTACCCCATTAGGAAAAGTGGGGAAATCTGGTCCACTAGACTAAATGCTCATTAGCAGTTAGAGCAATGTGCTGCTGGGGTGTATTTTTCAACTTAGTTTGAAAGGAGTTGTGTGCATGTACTCCGAGACTGCTCTGAGATGTGAATCAAAGCACAGTAAGTAGAAATGATCAAGTGATTCACTTTGCAAGTACAGTCCTGCTCTGCAGTAAAATGCTATGTAGATGCATCCATCATCTCGTTTCAGAAGGAGCTGGAACAGAGCACACTCAGCCCTTGTCAAAGGACAGAAATGGTTGAAGGCAGTGGGATTGGAATGAGAAGCGACTCAAAATTTTGGAACAAATTCCAGTTTCCTTCATCATTGTCAGTACTAATGGAGATACAGCAGAGGAGGCAATGACAGGAAGGCTAGAGAAAAGGAGAGGTCTGCTCACAAGTGATGCATTTGCAGTACTACCACTATCAGTCACCAGATGTAGGAGAAAGCTTGGCCTGAGAATCAGGGAAGAAGTATTTGATCACACCATACAATAAATCACTTTGCGCTGCAAAGTGGTACTGGGTGTTTACCTGACAAAATGAACTTAACTCCACTTACAGACTGAGGTCAGAATCACTTATCAAATATTTTATTTTTCATTTTCCTTTCTGGATTCTCTGTCATTTAACTGATTTTGACAAAGATCCAGTTTTATCCTGAAGCAAACTGCAATCACAAAGAGTTCAGAGATACAAAAGAGAGAGAGACTGAAACTAAAAGAAAGAGGGAAGAATTGCTGTTATGGCTGAAATGTTGTCTTCTGAGGAACACAGGACATTAATCTTACTAGGCTGAGACCCATGCTGCTGCTTACCTGCTCTGCCTTGCAGCAATTTTAATAGCCTGCTGGTTTAACCTGCTGAGAAGGTGTAATTAATAAAACTGGCTGGGAAAAAATACTAAAAATACTCGAGAAAATTTTCAACACTATTTTTTTTTTTTTTTTTTTTTTGCTAAACCTGACTTCTTTTTCGCTTTATGAAATCAAAAGTTGAGGATCATTTTTATAAAAATACCATACAATAGAAAACTAGTATTTTCTTCAGGAAGCTCAACTTTCATATTTTCTACCCTACCCTGCAGTGTCTCAGCAGAAGCAGAGCTTTAGAGTGACAGGGGGATGCTGGGAAGCTTTAGGGCTTAGGGAATACTCTGCACTTTGGCAGTTTTTTACACTGTGTTTTGCCTGTTCAGATAATGATCAGTGGTTGTTGGACATGCTTTGTGAGGAGAACAAGATTATGTTTATCTACTATATATATTTATCAGAAATTGTGTGTAATATTTGCTGATGTTGGGTAATACTCAATCGTTTATTTAATTGACAGTGAGTTTATACTATTGTCCTCATTTTTTTCAGACAGAT